TATAGTTGACTCAGAAAACATTATGACCACTTTGCTAATAAGACAACTGAGACAGAGGACCAACATGCTAATATGGCCCAAATCTCGTAAGTTGTATGCCAAGCAGATGACAAACTGCAGGTCCTGTCTCCTGTGGCTTAGGCTGGTTACCCACGGTCTCTGAGCTTCAGCTTCGTCATCTGCAGCATGAGGGACCTTGGCAAGGGCTTCTCTGAGAACCGCCCTTTCCTGCAAATTCACATGCTCCACCTTTGGGCTTAGTGGCTGCCACTTAGCTCTGCCTGCCCAACAAGTATGCTCTTTTCTTTTGGTGGCAGCTTGTTCATGATCCTGTGGGGCACTGCCCTTCCGTGGGAGCCCACTTGCAGCTCCCCATCAGGGAGGGCAGGGCATGTGGATCAGCAGCACCCCCACAAGCACAGGGGGCAGCGTGGTTTCCCCGATGAAAATGAAGGTGTTGGTAAGCAAAATGCACTATGGCCATCACTTAGGGACTACTCGATGTGCTTGAGAACTTAGGTTTTCTCCCAACCTGGATGCAAGAAGCCCCAGACCTGGTTCAGTCACTAAGATCCCTTGAAACAGGAAGACAGGAAAAGCATTGGAGGGAACAAAGGACAAACATGGGGTTGAGCAACTTGTTCAAGGTGAAGCTCTGAGGAAGGAAAACAGGCCACTTGTTCCTTACTCCAAATTTTCTTCTAACTGCCCTACTCCTTTGCGCTGGAAGTTTGCACCAGGCAGCAACATTTTCCCATTATACAAGGAAAATTTGTTTTTGTTTTTAAAGACTGAAGCAAAAGACCTCCGGACTAATTTAAGGCCACTTTGGTGAAAGGAGGCAAATGGGACACCAAGCCATAAAGGAACTTGTGAGATAACAGAAGAAAATAGTGGTCACACTTCAGACCAGAAATGGCAACGTTGGCCAGAGGACTGATTCAGGCCCTCTGATGTGTTATTCAGCATGTACAATTGGTCTTTCTAATTGGACTAATTGCCAACATTTAAAGATCAGAGTATTTCATATGAAAAGGTTTTGCATGGGAGCATTAGGCTAAAAATTGAGGAGCAGCCTGTCTCCTGGGGACTCCTGTATAAATAAATTCTCTGTCCTTCGTGTCTCTCAAAGCTAACTCTTCATTAACATGAACTGTTAGGCCCCAGAGCCATCTGTGTTTTGCAGCCTCTCTCTAGATAACTCTACAGCAGCAGCTGCAGCAGCCAGGAGCCAATGAAGATATTTCCCTGAGCTTTCATGCCCACCCTAGAAACTGAGCTGCTCCTAAAAACGCTGTCAGTACCTGTGCCGTTTATCTTGTCATGCTCTGTCAGCCCTCACTTTGAGGAAGAGAACCGAAATCAATACCCAGACTCGTTGGAGAAAATGAGATCCATTATAGATGGGGCTTACATTTCACTTAGGCTTCTGCTGCCAGCCCCAGGAGTTACAGAGGAACAGCTTGAAGGACGGTACATCAGTGAGGATGGGATAGAATGAAATGAAGAACTGCACCTGCTGAGGACCCGCCGGGCAGAGGACCCAACCAGCCTCTCAGAACTGCCGGGGCCTGGATGGGGCGAGGTGGAAGGACGGGCCCTGGTTGAAACTCTGAACCCCATAAAGGAGCTAGAGCCTAACACAGAAAAAAATAACACAAAAATGTCTGAGATGTATGTACAGACATACTTCAGAGAGATTGCATAATTCTTTATTCAATTAAGTAAGTAAATAAATCAATCTTTATCCCAGACGACCACAGTAAAGAGAATATTGCAGTAAAGCGAGTCACACAAAATTTTTGTTTCTCAGTGCATATAAAAGTTGTCCACACTGTACTGTAGTCTAGTAAGTATGCAATAGCATTATCTAAAAAATAATATACATAAATTAAAAATACTTTACTGCTAAAAAATACTAGCCATCATCTGAGCCTTCAGGGAGTTGTAGTCTTCTTGTTGGTGGAGGGTCTCGCCTCACTGTTGCGGGTTGCGACCGATCAGGGTGGTGGTTGTTGAAAGCTGAGGTGGTTGTGGCAACTTCTTAAAATAAGACAAAAGAAGTTGGCCACACAGGCTGACTCCTCCTTTCATGAACAATTGATTTTTCTCGTAGCATGTGATGCTCTGACAGCATTTTACCCCCAGTAGAACTTCTTCAAAACTGGAGTCAGTCCTCTCAAAAGTCTGCCACTGCCCTTTCTCAACAGAGTTTATGGGATGTGCCAAATGCTCTGTTGCCATTTCAACAACCTAAACATTTTCACCAGGTGCACATTCCATCTCGAGAAATCGCTTTCTTTGCTCATCCACAAGAAGCGATTCCTCATTCATTAAACTGTTACCACAAGCCTGCAGCAATTCAGTCACATCTTCAGGCTCCGCTTCTAATTCTAGTTCTCTTGCTGTTTCTACCACATCTGCAGTTACTTCCCCCCAGCGAAGTCTTCGACCCCTCAGAGTCATCCATGAGGGCTGGAATCAGCTTCTTCCAAATCCTGTTAATGGTGATATTTTGACCTCCTCCCATGCATCATGAATGTTCTTAATGGCATCTAGAACAAAGAATTCTTTCCAGAAGGTTTTCAATCGGCTTTGCCCAGATCCATCATAAGGATCCTGTCTGTGGCAGCTACAGCCTTACAAAATGTATCTCTTATTAATAAGACTTCAAAGTGGAAATTACTCCTTGATCCATGGGCCACAGTATGGATGTTGAGTTAGCAGGCCTGAAAGCAACATTAATCTCCTTGGACATCTCCATCAGAGCTCTTGGGTGACCAGGCGCACTGTCAATGAGCAGTGATATTTTGAAATAAATCTTTTTTTCTAAGCAACAGTGGGCTTAACATATTCAGTAAAACATGTTGTAAATAGACGTGCTGTCATCCAGGCTTTGTTGTTCCACTTATAGAGCACAGGCACAACAGGTTTAGCATAATGCTTAAGGGCCCTGGGATTTGGGGACTGGTAAATGAGCGTTGGCTTCGGCTCATAGCCACCAGCTGCATTAGCCCCTGAGAGCCTGTCCGCTGAAGCCATGAAGCCAGGCAATGACTTCTCCTCCTAGCTAGGAAAGTCCTAAATGGCAGCTTCTTTCAACAGAAGGTTCTTTCATCTCCACTGAAAACCCGTTGTTTAGTGCAGCCATGTTCAGTAAGCGCCTTAGCTAGATCTTCTAGACCACTGGCAGCAGCTCCTCTGTCAGCCTCTGCTGCTCCTCCTTTCACCGTGTGTCACGGAGGCAGCTTCTTTCCTTAAACCTCAGGAACCTGCCTCTGCTCACTTCAGACTCTTCTTCTGCAGCCTCCTCAGCTCTCCCAGCCTTCAGAGAGTTGAAGAGAGTTAGAGCCTTATTCCGGATCAGGCTTTGGCTTAAGGAAATGTGCCTGGTTTGATATTCTATACAGACCACTGAAACTTTCTCAGTATCAGCAGTAAAGCTGTTTTCCTTTCTTATCATTCATGGGTTCACTGGAGTGTTGCTTTTAATTTTCTTCAAGACCTTTTCCTTTGCATTTACAACTTGGCTAACTGGTGCAAGAGACCTAGCTTTCAACCTGTCTTGATTTTCAATATGCCCTCCTTACTAAGCTTAATAATTTCTAGCTTTTGATTTAGAGCGAAAGACATGTGACTCTTCCTTTCACTTGAATATTTAGAGGCCATTGTAGGGTTATTTGTTGGCCTAATTTCACTATCGTTGTACCTCAAGCAATATGGAGGCTTGAGGAGGAGTAAAGAGATGGAAGAATGTCTGGTTGATGGAGCAGTCAGAACAAGTACAACATTTATTCATTCAGGTTGCCGTCTTATGAGGGTGCAGTTTGTGGTGCCCCAAAACAATCACAACAGTAACATCAAAGATCACTGATCACTGATCACAGATCCCTATAACAAATATAATGATGAGAAAGTTTAAAATATTGCAAAAATTACCAAAGTGTGACAGACACACAAAGTGAGCAAGTTCTGTTAGAAAAATGGTGCCAATAGACTTGATAGGGTTGCCATAAATCTTCAGTCTGTAAAAAAAATGCAGTGTCTGCAAAGTGCAATAAAGCTAAGAGCAATAAAACAAGGTATGCTTGTAGTCAGGTGAGGGCTTAACAGTTCTATTTATTGGTGGGTTTAAGCAATTATAGAAAGTTAATAAGTAAACCTTTAGGTCAGAATTAATTTTATTTTTATTCAATAAATTGGTTCTTCATTTATACATTCAGCAAACATTTATGGAACATCTCATGTGTGTCAGGCATTGTCCTGGGATTTGGAAAGTCTGAGCACAGGAAATGAGCACAAGGTTAGTTTTATCTTGTTACGTTTACTTGTTTTAGTTCATTGATATAAATTCTAGCCTAAGTTTTCCCTAAACCTCTGTAGTATATGACAATAAAATCCTAAAATAGTAATTTCAGGGTTGGAGTCAGAGGAGCTTTTGACAGAGACAGGTAACAGATTCATAGCACAGGAAGAAAAGCTGCCCTATCGGTAAAAAGTTTTCTAACACCATCCCATATATATATTTGTTTGTTTATAAATTACATATACACTTACATACAATACAATTTTTATAAATGATATGTAATAATTGTTTAATACATTGATATATAATTATTATAGTTATGTGTTAGAGTATATTTTGCACATTATGAAATAAAGAAATAATTTGAAAAGAATAACATTTTAACTTATTTACTATTTTTAAAAATAAAAGTCCTAATGTTTCCCTGTCACCCTGCAATGAATTGTCCTGTGCGCTTTCTGGGGTGTGTCACCCCCTGGTAGAGACCAGCTCCTAAAATTGTCCTGGGGCTCTATGGGGAGAGTATCCGATGTTCACATCAACAGGAATTCAGATGGCCTTCACCGATCCAGTTAAGCGGATGATGAATTGCCCGCTCAGCCCCTGCCCGCGGCTGCTGAGGTCCCAAGTGCCCCGCTAGCCCATTTCGCTCACAGAGCACAGGGCGATCTTTCCGGAAAATAGACCTGCTTACAGAACCCCCCTGATTCGCGGCCCTTCAGAGGCTGGCTGTGCAGGGACCCGAACGCACAGAAACCCCAGGTTCTCGCACTGCACGGCCCTGACCGTGCCCGTGGCCAGGCCCCCTGCCCCCACGCCCCTGCCTTTCTTCCAGGCTCTACCGCCGCGGCTTGTCCCGCCCCAGGCCGCCCCCGCGCCGCTGCCCTGCCCGGAAGGCCCTTCACCCATTCTTCACCTTGGATGCCACCTCCCCGGGGACGCTTCCCTGACCCTCCCATCCTAAGTCCAATCACCCGTTAATGTTTTCTCATCACATTTTTTATTTTTCCTTAACAACACTTATAATAATTTGAAATCACAGATAGATTTGTGTGCCTTCTGTTTAACATCTATCTCCCTGATAGATAAAAAGCTCTACAAAAAGGAGGATTATTGGGGCATCGGTAGCTGCCAAGGATGTGTGGCCTGACCAAGTGGGTGGTATTTAGCATATGCTCAATAAAGATGGATTAGAGGAAACAAAGGAAATGAAAGAAGAACAAAATTAAATCCTCCATAAATATATAAGTTCATGCATATGTTTTTCAGAGTCCTGAGAAAGAATTAGAAATTTTCTAGGAAATAGATTCTAGCAAAAATATTGATGAGGTTCCCTAATAATACCTGCCAGTGAGATATTAAATGTGCCTGTAAGTACAGGAAAAAGAAAAAAAAAAGTCAACTAAGCTATGCCCACAGTAAGTGCTCAAAAGAAGTAATTTAAGGGTTACGTTCTGGGTTCATGATAAATACTAAAAAAAAAAAAAACAAAAGAAATTGTTGAAAGACTGGCTGAATGAACAAATGATTGAACAAGGCATAAAGAGACCAGAAAAATATTAAATACTAAAATAATAAAAATAATATTCAGTCATCATAAACTAGCTAAATAGAAGGAATATAAGAGTGATACCACACAGGAGTAATACATTAGAAATCTAGTCGTTCATATTTATATACAAGTTACTTCATGCAGACACCACTTCAGAAACTTTATAAGTATTAACTCATTTAATTCTCACAACCGTCCTTACAAGATAGGTTCTATCGTCCCCATTTTATAGACAAGGAAACTGAGGCACAGCGCACAGCGAGCCCACTGCTCTGTAGCTGGTGAGTGACAGACTCAGAGGTGCAGCCCAGGTGAGGCCTGAACAAATTGCACTGATCCTGCCGCTTTTAATTAAACGGAAATATGTACAAGGTTGTTTCAAAGAGCAAGTTTATCCTCACCCATGTGCCATAAAAGAGATTTATTCCAAATTGTTAGTTTTATGATACCAAAAAGGGGCTGTTTGCCTTTGAGGTTAGAAGTATGTCTTGATGAATGCCCTGACTTCCCACGGGTGCGGGGAGGAAGGCCACCCCAGGATTATCAATCTTTACAGAAGGGAATTCACTTATTCAGCACATTTTTATTTTATATCTACAGAGTTTGAGTCACTGCTCGGACCTGGGGATTCAGCAGTGACCCAAATAAGCCTGGTCTCTGCCCTCCAGCAGCTTGTGAGTGGGTAGAGGAGGGAGGCAGTAAACAGCTCCTCATGAACGGCCTGTGAGAGCAGTTAGGGAAGAAAGTCGGCCGCTGAGAGCAGGGAGGGGTCAGCCCTGGAGAGCGGCTCCGAGTGAAGGGAGGCTCCGGTGGCCTCTGTCCCAGCCCTCAGCATGTGGCCAAAAGATACTTCTTTGAGTGGGTGACCTTGGGCGAGATGAGACATGGCTCAGTGCCTCCATTTTCACATCTGCAGAATGTGGATAATAATAATACTCACCTCATGAAAGTACTATGAGAATTACATGAGATAGTAATTGTGTAGAACTTAGAACTTAGAGGGTAGTCAGCACTAAATAAATGTCATCTGCTGTCATTGTTAGTATAATAGTATTATTCAGAACCAGAAATCTGAATCTAACAAAATTTAAAAGATATTATGGGAGGTGGGCGGGGGGGGCAGTGGTTATCAATATGAGAGGATACTTTAAGCTCATAATCAAGATGCATTGCCACACCACATCACTGAGGGGTTTGCTAAAGCACCTACAAGATCCGCCAGAACGGCTCTCCCGAAAGTGTCCCTGTGTCTCCATGTCATCCTGAGTCTGAGTTCAGAGTAAGAGAGAGAGGCATCTATTTTGGCTTTTCCCGAAAACTAAATTGGGTGTAGCTGGTGTCCCAGGCACTGCATCCTGATCAAAGGTTAATAAAGTGACTTGGGGTTTGCAGGAATGGGGTTGGATTCCCCTTCGCCTTTTGCCAATTTTGGATGTATTATTATGAAGTGATGGCAACTACATCACTTTAAGTAAATTTAAAAATTTTTTAACTTTAGTGTTTATCATTACTTTTAAACACAGCAAAACCATATTCAGACCCACTCATACTACTTCACTTTCCCTCTGGCTAGAAAACACGTGGCCTTAAATTGTATTTTGCATTTGCCAGGTTTCTAGATTTCCGTATCAGGAAAATAATTGGAGGTTCATATTTCCCATATTAAATAGAAAAATTCATAGTGGAGAGAAACTTCCTGGGAGCATCACCTGTCCTGCCAGGGCAGTTTCCCAGGGTGTTCTGAGGCCTACCCCGTACAGGAAAGAGGGAGATACCCACCTCAGGGACCTGCAAGGAGGCGTAGGCAGGAGAGCGGAGAGCTGATCACCAGGCCCGAACAAAGGAAGAGAACTATTTACACCTCCCATGAGTCATTAAGAAAAGTCTCTCCGGCATGCTCAGGGGCCTCTTGAACTTTGAGATTTGGATTTAGTCCAGACACGAAATATGGAAAATTACTGTCTATGCAATGTTTTCATCTCCGCCACCATTTCGCCTCACTTTCATCTCAGTTGAAAGACAGAAGGCAGGTACTTGCAACCGCTCCCTGTGATCGCTGCAACCAAATTGTTTATGTGGAAATTAGGAAGATTTAGGAATCAAATGACATGTGGGCATTGTAATCAAGAGAATATCTTCAGTCCACAAGACTGTGCCCATATGGTAATGATTCCATTTAGATGCTAATTCTAATTCACTTTTTTCCTGGTATGTAAAATAGGGCTCAGCGTTGTTGACTGTTCAGTGAGCAAGAGAATGAGACCTTTGTTTATATGAGCCCATAGTGTTGGTTGAATGAGTGACCAGAGAGAGCGTTCATAGGGATTACAGAAAACATACACACCCAAGCACGTGCCTGTCAGATAACTTCAAAAATCACTTAAATTTCTGAAGAAGAGACTGCCAGTTCCAAACCAGTAATCCCAAGCTTGTCGCATGAGCAGATGTCTCCTTAGCAGCTGGGCCCATGCATCCCCATCCCAGAGAAAAGGGCTAAATACCCTGCCAACAGCAGAAAATTTCACCCTGGAAACTACAGTCTGTCCCCCGAAGGTCCTGTCCCCTTTAAGCAAATCTTCCCCGCAAAAGAAAGGCATGTTTATTTGTATTTTCAATTAAGTTGACTATTTTCCACATTTCCTGCTGATGAGTCATTTATGCAGGTTACTGAAAAAAATAAATAAATTGAGAACTACAGCACTGCAAAATTAAAGGATCCAAGATGCACAACTGACGTAAGCCCCAAAAAGGTGTGGCTTAAAAATGTAATCAGCAAACAGATCAGTCAGCACATCAGGCCAGCACAGTCAGGGGGTCTGGGTTTGGATATTTTGCCCTGGGGTCAGCACAGCCTGCCTCTGTGGAGCACCTCTGCTGGTTCTGCTCATCAGATGCTTGTAAGCAAAGCACATGGTGAGTATTTGGTCAAGGAACAAAACCACATTTGCCTGGAGTCCATGTGAGCAAAGATCTATCTCAGGCTTGTTCCACATGGTGCCTGAAGGAAAGGTATATATATACATGCTTGTCTCCGGAAACCAGAGGCCCGCGTTGAGGTAAACCATAGGAGGTTTGCCCCGTGTGTACAATGTGTGAAGGTAGAGGGAGGCACAGCCCTCGGCGTGGCACTACTGGCTGTGCACCTGGGGCAACAGACCTGCGATGCCTGCGTACTCCTGCGATGGCTGGCTCTGTGTTCCACGCCCAGACGCATCTGTCCTTTTCAGACTCCAGGACTCATTGGCTGCAATGCTGGAGGATGAGTGTTATTTTCACTTCTTCCTCTGGACATGCTTTATTCAACATTTAAAAAAAAATCAGGCAGAGAAGCAGGTGCACATAAACATACAATAGCTTCACTAAAATATCTAGTGCGATTAAAAACATCACCAGGGAGCTCAGATATGGATACAAATAGCATGTATTATATGTGCCACATGCATTACCCATGTTAATTAATTCTCAAAACAGTCCTGTGAAGAGCTTATCATTATCATTCTCTTTTCATAGATGAAAAACCTTGATACGTGACTTTGCCAATGTCCGTAGAAAAGAAGGGGTAGTCCATTTTGACTTCAGGTTCTCAGCCACTACTACACTGTCTCCCTTTGAAGATTAGTCAAGTCTGTCTGCATCTGATTGTATTATATCAAATCTTTTCTACTTTGTAAAGAACTAGGTATCCAAATTAAGAGCTTCTTAATACACACAATCTATGAAGCATACCTTTGAATTGTCATGTACGCTTTCTCTACAATGAACAAAGGGAAGACAACTTTTCATTCAGCCTGTCGAAACACCTTCACAATGTTGCCCAACATAACAGGTGAAGTTACATGATTATGTTAAAGGCCCAGTTCTTCCTCCATTATTTTAACCTCCAGCCTTTGAAGCCTATCCTGATATGAAGCTGAAAATGTTCTCTAGAGCCCACAGAGTTCTGCATGCACCCAATGCTCAGCAGTCGCAGGTGTCCCAGGTGTCTGAGTTTCCCTGAAGGGAAGTGATATTGTTGCTGCGTTCTCTTTCTCCTTTTACAAAATTACTTTCAATTAACTCCTCTGCTGACTTCCTATAACCTCATTCTTTTCAGATTTGCATGTTTCAACAAGTGCAATACTGCTGAACCACAGTGAAAATTCCACCTTTGCCCAAGACCACATAGTGCCCATGACTTCACCAAGGGCTGCAGGACCAGCTTTGAAAGTCAGCCTGTGTGTCCTTGCCCCTTCTCTGTTGTCTGCTTGGGCACCCCCGTTCTCCCACTGTCTGTAGATGATGACTAGTCCTGAAAGTGAGAAAGTAGAATGACCCATATTAGCCTTTATTTTCTAAAGCTCAGCTTAGACTATCTGAA